CTCAGAGTACCTCCTTCTTTCAACTCTTTGCACCCTATCAGTCTCTCCTCATAGTTACCAGTTGCTTCTTTACTCAATTCTAATTTGGAGGTTCTCCTACCTTTATTACTTGTCACACATTTTCTCTTACTTTTAATCCTGTGATTAAGCCATAATTTCTGCTTGTCCCATTTATTAATTTACCTTATCCCATTTTTAGACTCATTAAATCTGGTTCCTAATAGACATGACAACAGTGAATAAGTTGGGACACACATGGTTCCTGCTTGAAGAAGCTGTCTTCATTTAAACACGTGAATTAACTACCTTAGATATTTGATTGTTCTGATTCTAGTTTTCTTGTTTACTGCTGCATTAGCCTAGCCAAGCCAAGAATAGCACCAAACACAAAAGTGTGTCTTATTAATGCTTGTTGAGTGAGTAAAAGAGTATTGGGCTGATGTATAGTGCATCCTAGACCTTTAAAAACTGAGAAGTAACTTAATTTGGGTTAAAAATAATTTTTAACTTTATATATGGCATGCCGACTCTTCAAAAGTGCTTTAAATGTTTTTATGCTTCAAACATTTTTAATAAATAAATTAAAAAATAAATTGTAGTCTTTAGGAAGTAAGAGTTGGAAATGAGAAAATATTCATTATTTAAATACATGCTTGTTAATGGCCACGAGGTCATTTAAAACTAGTACCTCTTTGTTCTTTTGTGAGTGACATGAACTGATGCATAGCCCCACCTCCTCAGGTACAGTCACTTCTGGTCTGAGCCTTGGTCAACACCTGCCCTGCCCGAACTCTACAACTTGGAGCCACTTATCACTCCTCTCTGCCTCCACTTCCTCATCCTTTGATCTGTAAACCAGGCACAACAATTTAGCAAACTTCACAGATTTGTGAAGGAGAATTGTCAAATTCTTTAAGGAGCAAAGAAGTTAATATTAATAAAGTGCTTAGAACAGTACTGGGTACCTAACAAGTACTTGTTAAAAGAGACTGTGAAATGCACCTAATAATATTACCTACCTCAGAAGACAGCTGTGAAAAGTAAATTAGATATTTATAAACTCCTAACACAGTGCCTTGATACCTGGTGAATGCTCAATCAATCTTTATTATTTTTTTAATAAAGAAGACATATTAAGATATATCTATCTACAAAGCTTTTAAAAATAAGCATACCTAGAACAAGAGAACAACTGAGTGATGTTCTATGTGACAGGAATTGAAACTAAAGCCAGACATCAGAGAAAAGGAGTGTGAAAGAAGGATCCCTGCTGAGGGCAGCCTCTGTGGCCCAGAGGCCGAGGGGAAGAGGAGAGAGGAGACACCATCTTGGGGTGCCGGAGGTGCGGGGGGTCCTGGGGGTGTGTCAGAATTAGTAGTGTGGGCCATGCAGTGGAGGCCCTGGAGAGCCTGACCTTGTGCTAGAGTTGGAGGCTTGTGGTACCGCGCCCTCTCTTTGGGGGGGGGGGGGGTGTCAGGCAGCATGGTCTCTACGGTGCCTGGTTTCTTCTCATATGGGCTGCCCTGGTGGAATTGCTTGATGTCTCCTTTGCACATGCTTTCCTGGGTCTGTGTGCTGAGGGTCCCTTTTATTCCTGCTTGATACCCAAGACTTTATTACTCAGCTTTCATAACACTTTCTTGAAATTACATTTCTTCTATAGAATGGCTGTGCCCCACTGAAAGGTTTTCCTGAAAGGAAATGAGAAGGGAGGAAAAATGCCTAGTCCTTGCAGCAGGCATTTTTGTGGCCACTTGTCTAGAGTGTGAGCTCTCATGTGTGCCCCGCTTCCTCTCTCCTATTTTCTCGGAATAGAGTAAGTTGTCATTGAACAAATAACAATGAAAATGGGCTGGATCCTATCAGTGATCCAAGGTCACTGAAACACTATCAGTGTATAAATTCTTCCTGAGTTGCTAGGCTTCGTATAAAAGATGCCTCTCAAGTCTCTAAAGGATGTAGTTTATTCTGAGGGCTTTACAACTCAGTCTAGCTTTCCAAAGGCTTAGCAAATTATGAGCCAGTTTTCAGTCTTTTTCAGGCTATAATCTCTATGTTCTTCCATTTTAGTTTTGGAACCAGTGAGTCAAAGATTACCACTTTGGTGACCTGTAATCTTTACTCAGAGGCTTGTAGAAGAAATAACTGTGAAAGAATTGGTATTTTTGAAGATATCTACATGCATAAACATAAGGGTCATAGTCACAGAGCATATTTCATTGGCTGCTGAACTCTCTGCATCAGATAGAAATTCTACATATGAAACTTTATAAGTACTATATGCATGGAAGAGATTATGCCCAGAAAATGTAGAAATTCCTTTTCAAAAGGTAATTGACAGCTTGGTAGAGTTGAACTAAATAAATCTTAATAGTAGCATATTAGAATAACATTTATAAAAGATTTTATATAAGAATTTATAAGACTCTTTAGAAATTCTTCTTTTGGCCCTTGGAAGATCAAAGAAAGCTGGGAGGAAGATAACTTTATTAGATTTAGAGTTGTTTGACACTTGACCTGACACCTTCCAATCAATTCTGACAACTCACTGGCCAGTTTCTAAAAAATGAAGTAGGTCAGAAGGTATCATTTACTAAGTAAGTCATGACTACATGCCAGCTTAGCTATAGTAACTCATTTAAACCTCACCACATGACTATGTGGTTGATATTATCCAATTTTTTAAATAAGGGAATTGAGGCTCAGAGAGTATGGGGTGAGTTGCCCAAATCTTCTGACCCATGAGGACAAGGCTAGGACTCAAACCCTCCCTAACACCTCACAATATTTCTCCATTGTAGTAACTGCCTAGCAACGTTCTCTTGCCTGTTTATCTTCTAGTCCCAGAATGCTTTTGAGCTTTCAAAATTGGTTCAACTCTAATTCTTTAACCTACATCTGAAGTGTGAAAACTGAACTTAAGTCAAATTTACTTTTTCAAAGAATACCCAACATCTTACATTAACATTTCATAAAAAGTGTTTTGTGACCGAGAAAGTTGAGAGAATACAGAACTTGAAATCATAGTTTACCTGATTTCTTTAGTACAGGACTTCTTTGATGCTTAATATACTGGTGTGAACTCTGAATCTCTAAGGGGAGGACATTATACTCATAGGTATAGTTTCACAAGCTTTTTATTCATTCTTTTATTCTGGAAGAATACACCTCAAGGGATTAGTTTTCTATGAAACTATATATCTTAATTATGTATCACCTTGGACAAGTCACTTCACTTCTTTGGACCTAGATTTCCTGTTTTACAAATGGAGCTAAAGATATTCAAAAGATCCCTTTAGCTTCAAAAAATTCTATGATATAGCTCCCCCTCCCCACCAAGTTTAAGCATTTGTGCTACCAAGTGAACTTTCTAAGGGTAGAATAAGATTTTCTGAAAATCATTCATTCATAAACATTTATTGATTGCCAAGAACTATGCCAGGTTGTGAGGCTAAAAAGACGAAAAAGATGCAAATAAGACTAAGCTCCACTGTCTGCCCTCAGGGGGAGGGCACGATATGATGACACACAGAGAGTAAGGGAACATGGAGAGGAAAGATGGGCAACACAGTAAAAGGGCAATGTGAACTGATGATGATAAAACAACTCAGGAAGAGAGAACAGAAACATTCATAAATGATAAAGACACATAGAGGACCTGCCACCCCTTTGCAGGAGTTCAGTTAAGGCTCTCTGGGGGGTGAACACCCAATCTGGGTCTTAAGGGATGGGTGAGTATCAGGTGAAGGGGAGGTACGTACTCAAGGCAGAGGGGCCACGGGAATAGAAAAAGCATAGGGGTTTGAAAGAGCATAACGTGTGCAGTGGTCTCTGAGTGTGCACGGTGATCTCGGAGAGTTTGGCAGTTGCTAGAATGTGAAGTGTAAGGGGGTGCACAGAGCTGTAGGAGTAGGCAGGGCCAGTTGTTGAGGGCCTGCTTTGCCGGATGCTTGAACTTGGTCCTGTGATGAAGAGCCAACAGGACACTTGCAACAGGGAAGTGACATGTTCCCAGTTATACTGTATACAGTTGTGTGGAAACTAGATACAAAAAGAGAAAAGAGAGCTAGGGAGACCAATGAGGACACTACTGCAGATGTTCGGGGACAGATAACGGGCACCGGAATCAAGAGAGTAACAGCAGGAAAACACAAGAAAGAATGGCTTTGAGGAATATTCAGTATTGAGTAGGTTGAACCTTTTCAGCCTGGTGATTAATTAGGGAAGTGGACTGAAGGAGAAATCATTATACCTCAATCCTTTCTGTGCATTAAATTTAAATGGAGACCGTGAGTAGAGGATTCATATTTAGGGACCACTTTGTATGGCCAGTTATTTGATTTGGGTTGTTGGGGTATTACAAATAAATGGCAATTTTATTTTTAATATAAATGTAATTATTAATGAAAATTATAAGTTTATTTTAAACTCATTTAACCATAGAATTATGAGGCAAGCAATAGATAGTGTTTATACTTACTGATTTAAGTCTAGTTGTTTTTAAATATATTTTTTGTTGAAGGAAAATAAACACATGGTCATTAGTTTAGGTTTTATTTACCGACATTATAAAATATAAATTAAAAACCTTCTTTTTACCAAACCACTAAAATTGGTATAGGTGAATTTAAAAGGTTATAAATCTACTTTGAACTTCATCTATGTCAACTGTTCAAAGCTCTGCTATCCCTCAAGCCAAGGAACTAATCCTCGCAACACTCTCCTTGTTGTCAAGGTGAACTGAAACCTCTTCTAAGTGGCTCTTGCCATTTCTTCCTGAATGCACTGTTTAAAGCAGATACTGTAGGGTTAGAAACATGGTCTGCATAAGACCTGGCTCAAATACTCCTTTCCTGAAGTTGATATAAGTATGAATTAGAGCCCAGCTTTTTGCAGCTCTATTAGCAAGTAGTTCTAGATGTACTGACTGGATACTGTAGGAATGTTAAAGGAAGATGGGGACAATGAGGAAGAGTAAACACAAAGAAAACATCTCTTACCGGGCTCTTGTTGTATTTTGCGGTTGTTTTTAAACCAGGTGATCTGAGGCTCAGGGACACCGTTGGCATGACAGTCTAGAGTAGTGGAGCTGCTGACAGCCACTGTGTGATCACTGAGGTTTCGCAGGAGGTGTGGTGCTTCCTGATCTAATGAATGAAGAAAGAGAACTGTTATTACTCATCTGTTTCTTTTTTGTATATGCATCTCAACATTTGAAATATGTAAACAGCAAAACTCAACTGTAAGGTTTCATTTGTATTTTGTTCCCTAAATATCTCTTCTATGATTAACCTACTGCTTCCTCTTTATTAAGCTGGTACAATACATTGAAATTCATTAGAACACAGAGTAAAATCAAGAACTAAATTATTTATTTTTATATTTCAATATGAAGATTTTTTTAGCCTGGCCAACTGGTTTTCTTTTCTTCTTTTTCTTTCTTTCTTTCTTTCTTTTTTTTTTTTTATGAGAGAAGCTTTTCTAAAACCTAAGGATTTTGCGTAATATTTTAGGAACTAGAAAGGAAAAACATAATTTTGAATACAGGATTGTAATGACTTTTTACATAAAAACATAGCATAGTGGTGATGAGCTAATACAATTTTGTATGCACTTGTGTCGCTGTGTTTGTGAGGGCATGTCTGTGTTGCTTGGCTGTCAGTAACCAGGATTGTTGGAAGGCAGCAGACCAAACAGCAGAATTTCTTGAACTTTAAAAGCTTTATTGATTATTTCCTTCCTCCGTTCCCTTCCCAAATGCAAGCCACCAAAGGATTCATTCAAGAGGCAGAGGCACAGACTTGTGGTTTTTGCACTATATAATAGTACAATATTGTATTTTATATTATTTTCTCTTAAAACATACAAATATGATACAATACAATTTATTTTAATAAAATGCCAACCAATATAGTACAACAAAATGAACTTAATACATTAGGATGCAATACATTACAACATTAAAATCCCACATAGGAACAGCAGTACCCCCGAGGCCCCAATGAGTACAGTGTCTATTTAATGAAGCAGTCAGTCCTGCTGATGTGTATACATTCTAGTTAGGTGGGTGCTCACACTTCCACAGTAAAAGAATAAAAACAACTTCTGATGTCTTCTCTACCCTCCCAAATCATCCATTCCCCACTTTGTAGCAAATTCTGGAACAGAACCAAAAGAGTTTTGGCATAACTCACACATTCTACGTCACTGGTTCCAATTACACAGTATATGCTTTCTCTGACCATTTCTGATTTTTTTTTATCTTATTGTACTAAACTGTGAAAGCAGCTTGCGGGGATTACAATGCTATGAGAGATGACATGTTGCCACGGCTTTGGTTCCATGTCCCTGAAGTTCTGCTGAGGCCCCAAACCCTTCTCCTATTCCTGGGGGAAACTCTCAGGTTTAGCGTTCATTGAAGCAATTTAGAAATCTCAGGTTAAAAACTGTACTATATAACTTTTAAACATATTGACGTAGTATAACATGGCAGGGTTACTATGTTAGAAGAAACTGATTTCCAATTAAATTTTGACCCATACAAAATGGAATCTGAAGGCAAATAAGAACGCTGAAGGGAATGTTCTGCTGTGTAAATGCTTCCCCCAACCCTTTTGCCTGTTTCTGTGTGTCTTTCCTCATCTACCTTTGCCCCCATGCAGAACCATTTGAGTATTTTTGTGTCTGCATTCTGTGCAATCTGTCAAATAGCTTTTACTAACTGAAAATGCAGTCATCTATCAAAATCTGTAATTTTGGTAATCCTTACATGCTTGATCATGACAATTTTAACAGTTTTATGTGAGAAAGACCCCAGACATGTCAGTGAAACATAGAAAGCAATAAAGAACAGTGTCACTTACTATTTACTATCTTTTACAGTGGAAATCCAACTGTGATGTATCTCATCAAAATTCAGACCCAGTTCATTACATTATACTTTTAATTGCCTCTCCGAGCACATTTGCCATTTCCCATGAACTAAAAATTCTAAAATAATCTATCACTGTCCATAGGCCTTATTATAGAAAGAAAGTCTGACCACAGGGCCTACAGCACCCAGGTGATTTTCATAGCTACAAACTGTAACATCATCAACACAGGCAGGATTTGGTTTTCCTGGCAGGTATACCGGAGAGCAATGCTTATGTAGATGAGAACATTTGCTTTTAACAAAAATGTCATGAAGAACGCCCAAAGGCTATATCTGCCCTACACAAATTTCAGATGAGAAACAGAAGAAAGGCTTCAGAATAAACAAAGGACTTTCAATTAAATACAAAGTTTACATAAACATGTCTGAAACTTACAGTATTAAAGGTTTTTTTTTGTACCCATTTCTGGAAAAAAGTTCTCCTATGAGCAAATTCTCATTTTGGGTAAATTTCTAAATGATCAGTCAATCAACAAATCATTTTACCAATTTCCACTTTATAGTTATCTGATTCGACATTTTAAATGAGAAAGTTACATCAAACATATATTTTTAAATTTAAGTTATTAGACGGAAATAGGTAGCTGCTTTCCAAAAGTTAAACAAAGTGAGCTGACTCCTTCAAACTGAGAAAATCAGAAGTAACGGAATATTTCTGCTGGTTCTCAATAGCCAAAGAGAGCCCCCGCCAGCTCCTCCCTTCCGCTTCGGTGTTGCTGCCCCAGAGACCCACCAGGCCCCACGAGTACTGGGTGTCCATGGGGCCCCGGATGGGGACTGGGGAACCAGCCTCTCGCCCTCCATTCCATCCCTCTCATTTTCCTCACTGGCTCTTTTGTTCCTTCTTTTTCTGGTTACCCTCCCCTTACTCCACATTCAAAAGAGTTACCTAATAAAAAAATTATTTTTCTTACTGAAACTCTCTGGAAGGATTAATTACACAGTGAACAGTTAATTACAGAACTCTTAAAATCATCTCTTGAAAGCACTTAAAATCATCTTCTGTGAATACAAAGACCCTTCCCTTCCCCATGAAAATTGCAACTGCAATTTTAAGGGGAAGGAAATGATAGACTCTGCATGTCCAATTCACCAGGCTTTCAAAAGCACCCCCCAGTTTCATTTGCTCTAAAAATCAGGCTCATAAGCTCTGTGGGTCTAAGGCATTGTTTCTTGAAGAAACACACTGATTTATAATGAACAAAGACACCCGGCACAAGAGCCATAGGTAAAATTTCAAGATACAATTGATTATTCTTTCCTTTGGGCTGACAACTTCCAGGTTACTAATTGTTTTCAGAGCATTCAGGGCTCCATAAAACTGGCATTATGGGGAAATGGTATTGTTTACTCTTTCACACTTGACAAAAGCAATTCCCACGTGAAAGACAAGTTTAGCCGTGGGACAGAGCCTGTTACCTAAAGTAGGAAACGCTCCAGAGTTCCCAAGCCTGAAAAGTTGTCATACTGTCAGCTCCTGTTGGACTGTCCAGCCACTGTGTTCTCAGCCTTGGCTATTTTGGGAATTATGGTTTGTTTTCCAATAGTTCATGCAAGGCACATAAAATGATCAATCATAAATGGAAATAACAGAAGAGTGCATATTAAACTAATGAAAAAAGTCACTTTTCTCTCAAATGCAAGCTTAAAACAAGAGATTATAATCTCTCTTGATTTAAAAATAATGTGTATTTTTCAACGACTCTGAATTCTGCTTCTGTAGTTTTGCCATCTCTAAATCCCCATAAAAAACCTATTATCATAGGTATATGGAGAAGTAGACTTTTTTTAATGGACAAATTTAGATTTACATTTAGAAGACTGCATTAAACCTGTGGTCACAATGGTCTTTATTTGCTTAATAATTGATTGTGGTACACCTTTGAATGCCATCAATTAAACAGGACAAAGTTCTTAAAAGAATAACCAGGGAACAAAAATATTTAAAACAAAGGTGTGATCCACTTTCTGCGAGGTGCTGTCAGTAGCTGTGCAGCCCACTCAGAAGCAGTGTGGAGAAGCTGGCGACTGGACTGGCTTATCCGCCACCCAGAATCGCATGAGACAGGAGTAGTCTTGATTTGGGTGAATTTTCCTGATTCCTGCTGTGATAAACCTTCAATACCTCTGAATCATACAACACTTGCACCCATGGAACCCATTTTAGAAGCTCCAGTTTAAGATTAATGTGCTTAATGTAAAAAAAAAAAAAAAGCATTTCAAATAAATAAGCATTATAACTTGGTATTTAGGTGCTATTTACAAATGAAGAACAGATAAAATAATACAAAATAAAACCAGGCAGAGGTCCGACAGAGTCACAAAATCAACTGTACTCATTCTGAGCTGGAAAATTAACTTATTCATGTCCATCTTTGGCAGAAACCAACATTTCAGTTCGTGCAGCTTTGAAACTTAAAAATAATTAGAGGCTGGCGTCAAAGTGGAAGGAAAGGATCAGTTCCCAGTTGTTGTTTACCAGGCAGGAGAAAACAGCAAAGAGCAAAAGCACAGAGTGTGCCTGTGGGGATCCTCCAAATCCAAACGCGCACCAGGTCACTGGGTTGGCCGCAGGGGACCCCTCAGCCTGATGGGGAGCCCAGTGCAGGCCTGGGGGCTCATTATTATTCCCATCATCTCCAAACTCATTTTGGGAGGAGCATCTCCTCTGAGCCAGAAAGTTAGCAACAGTGACAATAAATCAAGATGATATGAGACAACTGTTACTTTTGAATGAGTCCTTTAATGTTTTACATTACTTTGTGTGGTACAATCATTCCTTGTGCTTTTAAATTTGGAGATCCGAGAGAAAACAGCCTTTTTGTTGCAGTGCTCACCTCTGATTGTAACTTCTTTCTTCTGAAGGATGTCTTCCCCTGTGTACACGTTCCTGGCTCTGCAGGCATAGATGCCTGAATCTTCCAGGGAAGCATTCTTGACGATGAGGTGAAGTGTGACGGAGTGCTCCTTAGTGACGGTCGCTCTTTGCCTGCTAATGCTGTGGTGTGTGGTTCGGTTATTAGCTGTCCGCAGAAGAATCCAGGTAATGTCTCTGTATAAGAACTTGCTAACTGTGCAAGACAGTTTCAGGTCCTCTCCTTCAGTAGGCATTTTTTCCAAATTAACATGGAATCCATTTGGCACATCTACAAAATAAGAGTAAAGGACTTTTGGTTCATAGAAAAACCAATGTGTCATACAGAGGCAGGATATCATCAGGAGATATTCAAAGGTCTGAAGAAGTGTTCCTATAGATTCTCTCAGCATCAGCATTAAAAAGATGATTATTTATCTGTTTATTTTAGGGGAACTGATCAAGCATAGCAGGTGGGAACCAACAAAGTTCATTCCATCAGAAGCAGGAAAAGCCCAACGGGACACTTAGTAGGATGGGACATTTTCCTTATTTGCCTGATTTTTCTTTTTTACAACTTGGGATGATAACCATGTTTCCCATTTCTTTGTCATGAACAGAACTACTGGTAAATGGACAAAACAGTAAAGTGATAACAGCAATTTGTACTGAAAACCAACAGTACTCTTTTAGCTAACCTCATCAAAAATAAGTTGTAAAAGGTGAGCCTAGAAGTCCCAGGTACATGACAGAAGGAAGACTCAGTCATGCCAGTCAACACTTCAATCCTAAATGTTTCCGGTGAAAGAACAACTGCTTCCCCAAGTTCCCTGCGATTGGGTCGCTAGCATCCTCCCCCGCTGCGGTCCCCCACCCTGCCTGCACTTCGCTGGCACTGTGGGCTCAGAGGGCGGGAAGAGCCAGTTTACTTGCTCAGGTCCTCTCCTTGGTGATCGCCCCCCTCAGACATAAAAGAGCAAAGATTTCTTCTGAATATGTAGACGACCAGTCTGGAAGAGTTGCCGGGAAATTTTAAAAATCAAATTTGCTCTCAAAAGCTTATCAAGCATTTTCTGAAAGTGACTGTGCCATTAAAAGCCATTTTCTCCAGCGCCCATTCCTAGCTAAACTTCATGTCCATCTTCTAAGTGCCTCTGGTGACACCACATGAGCTCCTCTCCTCAGTTTTCTCACCCTGGATCATTAGCTTTTGCACCGAGGGGTCCCCAGTCTCATTTTGGATCATTTCACCAGAGGATTTAAAAAAACCATTGGCTGCTGGCCCTGAACTGATCTGCTCTCAAAACCCTTGAATTGCTTGTTACTGGTGGCATATCTGTATCTGAGCAAAGAATTTGGGCCAACATTTTACAAAGTACTTTGAAGATGAAAAGCTATTATTATTATTATTATCCTTTGCACACAAAGCTATAAAGGAACCTTTAAACCTTAAAGAGACAATAGTCCAAAATTAGATATCATATCAACTCTTTCCTAAGTCTCACTTTGCTTGTTTTTCTGATTTTTCTGGGCTTTGGCTTTATTATAAAGTGTCACGTCTGAAGAAATGCCAAAGTATTCATTTGAAACCTGGGAGCAGGAGTAACAGTGGCTTATGAGGCTATCAGTGGTTGGAGGGAGAGAAGACCAGGGGAGGTTTTCCTGCTTTGAAAATGAAAAACTAATAATGTGCCAGAAGATGCAAAAGCAGCTGACAATCATTTCTAATGTAACAATAAGGTATCTGAAATAGCCCCTGTAATTCAGCATCTTTTTATATTTGGGACATTTTCCAAGCATAAGGATCAAAACACCAGCCATCAACTTTTACACACATACTAGGACAGAAGTCTTGTGCACTGATAGCAATCAAATCATCTCTCTAAAGACCACAGACTCCATTTATGAGGTCTCGTCTGGTACTAGAACCTCAGTGAGCCCAAGTAACACCCCTGAGATCAAGCAGAGAGTTTCTATTTACTTCAGTGATTTGAAACTTCCTGTGGAAATTAGCTCACAGGTTTCCTCATGGAAGATTTTGTTTATCTTTGCCAAGCACCACCAGGAATCTCAAAATAAAATGCATTTAGTGACATTGGGAAACCAGGGAGATAAGGCAGTGCTGTTCCTGTTTCACACTCAGTAATTGCTAACACACCCATAGTCATGCTGAGTGCCAGCAAAACGGCAAAAACACACACACAGGAAAAGAAAAGAACCCAATAGGTTCTGAGGTCCATTTTTCACATGGGGAACACTGTCACTGAGGCTAATTTGGTGTATGTTATCAGACAGCCTCTTAGAAATGATTATTTGTATTTCAGTATCACCCCGTTGGTATTCTCTTTTGATCCATGGAAGATGATAAATAAAATGTCCTAAGACTAGTTAATGAATCCAGAGGGATTTTTCTCCTTAATCCATGTTGATTTTTTTTCTTTTTGCCTAAGTACAAAACCAGACCCAAGAAAGAATTGCCTTCTAACTCTCAGAGTGAAAACAAGAAACCTTCCCACACATAAGTATCTGTTGAAGATTCAGCACTAGCATCATCCGCACCCATTAATACTCATCTATTTAACATGCATCACACCCATGGCAGTTTATGAGGTGTGAAGGAGAAGAAGCGACCCTTGCTCAAGAGACACATTCAACCTAGGGTTAGGGCTAGGGTTAGGTGAAAGACTCATCGATGTATGAAGGGGGTAGACATTTTGACCTGATTGGTCAAACATGTGAAGTGAGTTCATGAGAGACAGTTAAAAGGCTGGAGAGTGTCTCAATTGTCAGGTGGGAATAAAGAATGCTTTTCTTCTACTGAAGAACAGAAATAACATTCTCTAAAAAGAAAGTCAGTGGTTACTAAAAAGTTTTGCTGTTTCAAGTTGCTTCTACATACATGCAATGGCCCAGTTTAGGGTCGAAACAGTGGAGGGTTCTAATGGCTGCAGGTAATTACTTCTCATCGGTTTGGAAGGCAACTCTAACTTATCATTACACAAGATCTGGCACAAATAATGGCTCTTTTTATTACAAAATCTTTTATTACAAAATCATAAGCATGTAATTCTGTAACATAACAACATCACACTTAAGCACAACATGTGACATTTTAGATGAAAGATTCACATTACTGTCTACCTCAGGCAAAACATTCACATACCCTACCCACCACATTCAAGCAGGCACTACTTCTGCCAGACCCTGTATTTTAAGGAAGGGGCAACATGATTGAAATGAGTCTTAGTAAAGATCCAAATCCAGATCTAGATTTAAAGCAGTTAAATTTTAGACAGATTTTTGAAACATTATCTGAACTAGGTCCAAGCATAAACACACAAACTAGACAAGTAGGGTGCAACATTCCTAAGAGTATTTAGTGTCCTCTCTAGGTAAAGAAATTCCTGGGACAAAGATTTGAATAAGAAAAAGATAATAATTAGTTTAAGAATAATGAGTGTAAGCAAATGAATCCATTAGCACCAATCAAAACTAGAACTTTTCAGGACTGGTAGAGAAGAGTTCAGAAAAATTATATTTCAGGCAAGAGGGGCTTGACTGGCTGAATTTGTGCTCTGTTTTAAGATTAAGATTCTTGAATTTCTAGCGGAAAATCGGTGAGAGCTTCAAGCAGGTATGTTTGAATTGCATTCTCATTGTTCCTTTCTGTGGCCAAGAATCTTGGGATCTAGGAAAGATCTGAACCACTTCACAGTTATTAATTATATCAAGTGATGGGAGGTGAGGGGGAATTTCTTTCTGAATTCAGCTGATCATCTTAATCAGCTTCACCGTTGGGGACCTATCAGCAACAATACCATGCATGGGTTTATGACACAGCGAGAAAACTCAGTGGGACGGACAGGCAAGATGCGGATGCTGCAATTCATGCTGGGCATCAATGGACTTTTCCCGGGGATGCTGCACAATAAGGGAATGAGCATGCTATTCCCTCCACTGTGTGCATCTTCTTCCAACACTCCTTCAGACACAGGCGAGAGGGGTCCTTGTCCTAGATCTTTGGATGGCTCTTTCTGGCTGTCCCTCCTCACAATTTAAAGAGTCTGTGGGCCAAGTGGGAATGCCCATTCAGAGCCTATGTTAGGCCCACTTCTGCCCACTTCTAGATCTTTCTTGGTGGGTGGTCCCAGGAATCCCAGAATTCCCTGTAAAGATGATCCCAAGTCTGTTTCCAGACTCTCACATCTCTTTCCTCTTCACTAGATCTGTCCTCCTGAATTCAGACTTCTTGTCACTGAGCACACTTCAAGGCCCCAGGGAAGACTGTTCATGAGGGGGTGGATAGAGTTTGCATTTGTGGGCTGGGGAGCCCGTACACATGAGTGCATGGCCCCTTGCCATGTGGGACAGAGGCAGGAGTGGAAAGATAAGACTGGTGAGCCAGGAGCAGCTCCTGTCTGCACCTCCAGGTGCTGCCGCATTCTGCTATGGGGCTCTGAGTTGTCCCCAAACTTGAAATTTGGGCCTGGTCTTTCAGGTCATCACGATGGCATGTTCATCCCCAGAGGTTGAAACATATTTAACAGCTATTTGCTTGAGTTAGAACTTGTATGTGTTTAGATGTATTTGTTCATGGTACTCTTGCCTTAAGTCTGAAAATGCCAGAGCAGCGCTGTTCTCTTCTTTCTACCTGTTCAGATTCTCATTCCCCTCAGTACCTCCTCAAATCCAGGACCCTCTCAAGTCCTGCCTCCTTCTCTGAGGCTTCAAGTTACACTGTACAATACTCAGGTGCCACGTGTGGCTATCGAGCATTTACAATGTGGCCAGTGTGACTAAAGAACCGAGTTTTATTCAATCCTTTATTTCAATTAATTAAAAATCTGAAAACCGAAGCAGTGTCATATTTTTAAAGATGTCAAGGACAGGTTGATAATATTTTGGATATATTGGGTTAAATAAAATTAATTTCATGTTTTTCCTTTTACAGTTTAAAAATACTAGATACTAGAAAATTTTAAATTACTCATGTGGCTCATATTTCTGCTGGACTGCGTTGGCTTAACACTGGTAAACTCACGTCACATTACTCCTGCACATACCTTTTGATACTAGGATATATATAATTCAACATTTCTTCTTTGTTTCCTTGGTGTCACAACTGTCTTCCTAGAAAGACAGGGCATCACTGATATCTCTGCAAGTGCTCAGTACGAGTTAAACTGTACTAATAGCTGGTACTAATAGCCGCTGCTATTAACTTGTACACACTTGCAGACTGTTCAAAACAGAACAGGAGTTGCTCACTCTTTTGTACTCTGAATCACACATACTGTGCCTATTGATTTGGATGGTAACTTGGTTCCAATCAATTACACAGGACAAAACAAACCCTTGTACTTAATTAATCCAAATCATCTGAGATTGGATCTGTGTGAAATTGCTATCTGAATCCTTCTCGAAGTAAAGGATTTTCCTACTTGGAATTAATGCAAAGATGACTGTCCTTTCATGTCTCAAATCTGAGAGGACAGGGACTGGTCTAGTCTAGAGGAGCTCTGCTGGGTGCCTCCCACCTGCAGACCCCATTTCCGCACGTCCAGAACGCGAGGCTCGAAGGTCTCTTCCAGCTCAGATGCTTTGGCAACCTGGTCCGGGTGTGTCCCAGGACAGCTTCTTGGGTTGGCTTCCTCACCGGAAGGCTCCCTATGATCTGACAGCCCATACATCTCAGGAAATTGGACCTACCTCTTTCTTTCTGGAGGACTCTAGGCAACTACTGCAGCCTGCCTCACGCAGTGCGAAGTTTCCGAAGAGTTGGCAACTGCCCAGCTTTCCTCAGAAATTGGGGGAGTGTGGAGTCAGGCAATTGTTTTTATACTTTGAGCTACTTCTTCCTTCCTGTACCCATGGAGGGACAGAGGGAGTGCCATTTGTGTACCTTGGAAGTTTTAAGATGTGCAGAGACGGTCCTATTTAAGGCCAAAAATTCTTAAATGCTACCAAAATACAGTACATTAATTATCATCAGCAAAGCTCAGTTTCAGGTTTCTTTCTGTAGGAGAGCCTCATTTCTCAAAAAGTTGAAATTAAGTTGTGAAACAATTAGCGTTTTGGTTTAAAAAAGTGTTATCCCATGTGTTATAACTGGCTTCCTTGATTATTCCTGAACTGCTGTGTGCCAGACCCTGTGCTAGGTACTGAAAGGGGTTAAAAAATCAACAGGATGAGATCCCCAATTCACAATCCAGCCTGGGAGCCAGGCACACACAAAGAGCGCTAAAAGAGAATTTAGGGAAATTACTCTTTAGAAGATTCAATGATGTTGTAGAATACTATTCCAAGAGCAAGGATGAAGACCCTCAAACTTCAACGATTCTATGGAATGTTTTCTTTAAATAAAAATTGCTCAATCTGTGAGTGCACTAAAAGCAAACAAGGTCTGAGGATCTGAGCAACTGAAGCTACAAGGCTGTCTCTTTGAATATAGGATGTGTGGCTCACCTGTGATATAAAAGTTTATGTTTCTCTCCACAGTCCCTGCTTTATTAGAAGCCATGCAGCTGTAGATTCCAGAAATTCTAGAGTCAGCCACAACCAAGGTGCTAGCAGTCTGTAAAAGAAAAGGAAATTTTAGCTTGTGATGGGACAAAGAACCATTTGAACATCTGTCAGCTACTTCTGAGGGTTGAAATGATTCAGCTATTTCATTCATTCAACAAAGACAGTAATTGCACCCCTGGTGATTCCCAGAAGGCTCTCCCCCTTCTGAGCCCCAGCAAGAATGGAAAAATAACAGGAAAGCAGGTCCTCAGTAGACCGGAGCCTATGACGTCCGCCTCGTATGAGGGTTTCAGGGTTATTTATCCCATGCTGCTGGTGCAACAATTACAGACCCAAAGCTGAGATGCGGGACTGCACGTCCTGCCCTCTGAGGTGGCCAGTTCCACGTCAATGAGAGCAACAGGTGAGGCCGAGGCCTTCCTTCATTTGGATGGCCTGAGATCGTGGGTGCTCTTTGGGAACAGGAGCCTCAGTGTGTTAAGTGAGCAGGGACAGAAGAGAAAGGTTGGCTGAACCATTTTTTTATGTGCTCAAAGACTGTGGCATTGCAGCCCGATAGCGCTGGAGGAGAGGAAGGAGAGCTCATTGAGATCATAGCATGTGTTTATAAATTATTCAGTTTCTCAGCCTGTCAATTCCTAATCTAGAAAATGAAGATGTAAGTTATGAATTAATTCAATAATTGTTTCACTAGACTTTAGTGCTGCTATTTGACAAATTATCCCCTAAAAAAGAAATGAGTCAAATTTTTGTAAACTTGACAGCACCTTAGAAACTATATGTCTCAAAAAGGACTGAAACACAAATTTACACAGCTTAAAGACTTGCATTGTTATCTCCTTTTAAAGATAAAATTAGTAACCTGAAAAAATTGCTGAGTTTTTAAATCCAACCCAACCTTGCAAAAAAGTAATGCATACTATATGAAAAAAATGAAAAAGCAAGTTTTTCGTATTTAAGATTATTTTTAAAATGTTGAACCAGTTATTTATAAATTGTTGCAGCCTATCTCCTCGGACACATATAACTGGCTTTGAAATTGTACGGGCTGTGCTGATGCTTCCAGACTAAGGAAGTGTCCTAACTGAAGTATAACAGTCAAGTGGTTTACAGGCTAAAGTAATATATAGGCTGAAATGTGATCATGGACTTTCTAAAGTGGAGAACACAAGTTCTATAAAAATTTGTACATTTTTTCTGAGTTGCAAAGTAATATACTAGGCACTTTACATGTTCTCATATCCCATTCAATAAATTAAGCTATTTCTGTCTTTATTCTACAGATTGGGAAGACTAAAAATATACTCCTTATTGTTAGTCAAGTTCAATGCTCTAAATTCTCTGTAATTTTCACTATGATACAGTGAGTATTACATGATGGTTCCTCCTCTGTTTGTTGGATCTGCTTAATTACATATACCCATATATCCTTTGTGTATTATTGACATTATTGGAAATTAAAGTGTCTACAATATGTGGTATTTTTCATTCAATTTAGCAAACATCTACTGGGCACAGCCCAGATGTTTTAAGGGACGCACAGACAAATATGACCCAATCCCTGTTCTTAACCTTAAAGGACCATTTTATAAAAAAGAATGTCCCTACTTGAAGATTAAATATATAGTACTCTCTTTGGCAGAGGGACACTCACATGAAGACAGATAAGCAGTGAAGAGTATGGAAGAGAGCTCAGGTGTCTCCTTTTTGATTATTAATCTGTAAGAGGTAGGAAATAAAAAAAATTCTGCATAGCCATTTCCTTTGAATTATTGCAGCCACCACTTAGGAATCATGGGAAAAAAATGAAAGCAGTTAGGAGAGAAGGTTGGAGGTGGTGTTCTGAAATTAAGTGTCAGCTGGCGGCAGCTGGGAGGACAGAGTCAAACTCTCCTCTTTCTCACTTCGGCAATCCTGAGCTCAGAGCGCAGGTGCCCGGAGCCCCGGGCCACAGGTTCAGCCGCAGGGAGCACCGGTGCTGGGCCCTCTGACAGCCCCTCTGTTGCTGCTTGCCTCTCGGCCAAGGGCTGCTTTCTTATGAAGTTAGCTCTCCAGTGTTTTTCCTAATGGGCCTCAGCAGAACCTTATTTAGAGCCTAGGATTTATTATTTCTCAATAAATAGGTGAAAAACTCATTTCTATTTGGCTTGAGAATAGCTGATATTATGGACAGCAATGGCCTGAATCTGAATGTTATATTTGGGTTTCTATTAAAAATGATTATGAGTTCACTGAACTCAAAGCAACTAAGAACAAGAACTGGGTTCCGTGACATGGGAAAATCATCAGATGTCCAAATTTACTATGTTTAAGACCTGCGAAGGCAACCTGGGGATGGCTGTTTTACAAGACTCCAACACACAGTCAGATAGCTCAGAAGTTTTGTGTAATCAATGAAATCAAGGTACCTAGAAGTGAAATGAATCCAGGTTTCATGATGGACCATGGAGATAGAAATGCATTTGAATTTCTTACTTTGCTTGAATGACCCCTTCTAAAACAGAAACCTTACTTACAGTCAAGCCTATCACAGAACTCACCTCTTCAAAGTTGCTATTGAAATGGAACTAAAAAATGACCTTGATGGGAGTTTTCATTACTTCTTTGGTTCTGGGTACCTTTATGTAGCCCTTGCTGTGTACCATATGGTGTTGCAAGGCTTTAATCTCATTTAACCCTCCCTCTAGCCCCATAAGGTGGGTATATTATCCTCTTCCGCACAAGAAGGAACTGAGGTCAGAGGAGGTTAAGTGCTTCACTCAGATACACCAGTGACACAGACGGGCCGAGGCAGGACCGATGCCGAGGTTTGTCTGACTCCAGTGCCCTATGCCCAGTCTTTACATGAAACTACTTCGTACCCTAAAACTATTTAAATTAATAGCACAGATCTATTGTAGAGTTCTGTCTATTTTTTAAAATTTGGTTTTCCCTTGAGAATACTTCCTTCAGCCAGCAGAGAGAGGTCACATAAGCTAAATGCTACTATGTACAGGAATACTAGTTTCTTCCTTCGTATTTTACATAAGCTGCGAGCTCTTTTTCAATGGATATGGTGTTATATGGAGAATATGATGAATGAAAAATTTGTAATTAAAAAAATTTTTGAAATACGAGGAAACTTGTATCCTTTGATCAACTTTATTAAAAACTATCTGATTTCTAGAGTACTGCTCTTTTTTTCAGAGAATATAAATTATAAGTTAAAACATTTTCATGAAAAATGAAGTCTTTCTGACAACTGAAGTGTAAACTTTTTAGGGTCAGAAGAAAAAGCTCAAGTATGAATTTTCGGTGAGTATCAGTTGTCTGGACCCAAGGCAGTAAGTCTCAATGCAGGAGTCCTCTGTGTTAAAGGGGCAAACCCATTCCTGGACGCTCATAACCAAATACTATTGTTTCAAGGGGAAAAGTTACAAACAGTGTAACAGTTGGAACCCAAATACCAACTCAATACTTTAAAAGAAAAAGTACCAAGAATTTGAGTTGTAACATGTGTTTGAAATAATAACTTATTTTATAAGGCACACCAAAAGAAATTCACCAAGATTTATGTTTGTATTATTACTATAATTAGTTTTCATTTGCCACAATTATTTTTTAGCTCTGAACCTTCACTTTGGGGGTGCCTCTACTTGCCCTGCCAGGACCTCAAAAATTTAGATATTAGAAACAGGTCCTTCAAGGTCATTCTCTGGTTCTTTTGTATGACTCAGGGACACTGATGAAAACTGTTGTCACGTACTGTAAGTCCGGAAGTTATTCATATTCCCTTCTTCCCTTTCGCTAAGTATTAGTAATTCACCACTACAATATAGTTTGAACCTCACGGAATAGAATGGATCGGATGATGTATAATTCAGCCTTATCTCCAGCATAAGTTTTTTTTTAAACTCTGTATCCGGAACAGTGATTTTAATCTTGGGATGTTTCTAATATAGTTCCTTTCAAGTGTTTCAGGGAAATATAAAAAGGAGACATGGAGGAAGGTCATGGAAGAATCTAAAGTTAACCTATGGTGGCACATTTGAGCCAAGTGATAGAAGAAAGGAACATGAGACTAGAAAAATTGAGGAGTGTGTGGGAAATGCAACACCAACTGTGATTCTGCAATTAGGTACTGATGCTTCTGTCATGGGTTGTCTCTTGCAGTACACATACTTCTCATTCACACCTCAAAACAACTTCAATGGAAATGGTGCTAAAACCTTAATGTTGTCACAGTTCTCCAGCCTCACAGATTTCATGCTGATACGTATTTCCTGTGTGTTTTTTCTACCACAGCGCTCTTTCCACTTCCTACTCCGAATCTACAGACCTCATAGTCTGGCTGACCCATTTAAACAATACAAAAACTCCACGTTTGCTATTAGCAACTGCCGTGATGACTCATTTTTCACAAATCTAGGCCAAACTTGCCAGTAAGGAACTGAATTTTATTGTCCCCTGCATCCTCACTTGAATTATATGAATAAAGGAAAACAAAACAAGAAAATGCAAATCCCTGAAATCCAACAGGTGGCCCAGCAGGCCCCCTCTCCACTGATCTGGTTGGGGCGGGGTGGGAGGGCGCGTGTTGCTGGCCGTGTCAACACTATGCTACAGGGAGTATAGTACAAGGTGGGACTTTACTTGCTTAAAATGTACAGAAAATAAAGGGAATTTAATTGTAAAGGGAAGACCAGCACATATCATTCTGAAATAGCAAAACTTCCATTCATTATCATCATATGAAAGATAATTTTTCATACATAAAGGTATTGAATAGTAAAAGTAGGAAATTCTTTGAAATTTAGAACATAAAATTAATAATTTAAAGACTAATGTGTTCTAGTTATAGCCACTAAGGATCACACACACACACACACACAAATATCAACTTTGTTTAGAAAGACTATTAAGTACTGTTTCCATTGCAAATAATTGTTTAACAAATACTCTTCATTATATATGCGCCTAATTGATTTGGGAATCGCATTAGGATCTATATGACAATCACTTTTTTTCTTTTTTTTTTTTTTAAATCTTCACCTGAGGACATACTTATTGATTTTTAGAGAGAGGGCAAGGGAGGGAGAGAAACATCAATGTAAATAAGAAAAATCAATCAGCTACCTCTCATACTCACCCCAGCTGGGTACCGAACCTGCAACCTAGGTGTGTGCCCTGACCAGGAATGGAACCCATGATCCTTCGGACTATGGGACAATGCTCCAACCAGCTGAGCCACACCAGCCAGTGCTATGGCAATCACCTTTATAACAATAGGCAAGCTGGGTAGGGCAAATATTACTAGTTCCATTTTTAGGGGGAGGAGAACTCAGGTTCAGAGAGGTGAACTGATTTGCACATGGTTATACAAGATAGAAAGTGGCAGAGTTTGACTGCATGTGAGAAGGCACAGGTGCCTGCTGGGTCGGCAGCTCTGTATTTAAAACCTCTGCATAACTACAGACTTTCATGTAAATCAGGGAAGTTCCTTTTCTAACTCCCACTGTTTTGTGGCTCCACGCTTACCGTCTCTCACAGGTGTTCTCTAAGGAGTCAGGTAGCCACTTCATAGTTCTGGCTACTCAAAAACCTCACCGAGCCTTCTCATTTTCCATTTTGTTTTCTATAGCATATGTTTGTGAATTTAACTTTCAAGTTTATAGATGTTCCTCTTTCCTAAGTATTTCATTAATCTGCTCTCTCATCAACAGCTACACATCATGGAATGTTTTAAGCTACTGTTCATTTGTATTAGAGAAAAACCCCTGTAAACCACCTGCAACTACTGCTAGTTATAAAAATGTTTCCTAAATCCTTGACAAGTGATTGCTGATAGTATCATGCGAGCCATCACCATTTTAACTAATTTCTCTATTGGCTTAAGTTGGCAGAATACTGGGTTTTGGAACAGGAAGACTTCGGCTTGAGCTCTTCATTTTCCACTTTTAAGCTGTCTGGGTTTGAGTTAATCACCTTATCACCCTAGTTTTTCTTATCTTCAAAATTGAGATAACAACTTTAGCCAGCCAAAGAATGACATTGATATTAGCATATGTCAAAAAGTTTCACACAATGAAGAATTCAGATGTTATTTGGTGTTACTTTTATTGTCAAATCCTATACAGAGAATGATGCCATCTATTTTGTTGCCTTCAAATGCAAAGAATACAGCTGAATAAACAGGTAACATAGGCTAATTACACCCAAGCAGACAGCATCCATATAGACAGATGACTCCAAATCAAGATGTGCAAGGATAAATAGACATTTCAGCAAAGGGTATTTGAGATAGATATATATATATATATCTTTCCCTTTTAAAGCATCACTACCGCATGCCTTTAATAGCAGACTTTTACATCTACTTTTCACTAATTCAACAGAATAAAAGCCACCAGGTCTGAGGGCCACTGAGATTTGCCTGGTTCACAAGGTGTCAGCTTTGCTGAGACTCAGTGGAGGTCAGGAGAGTACAGAATGAACAGCACAGGAGTGGCAGAAAAGACGCCTGCTAGACCCTGATGAGGTCAGAGATGTTTTGGCGGGGAAGGGTCGAAGTCCCTCTCTTTTAAATGAGATTTAATTGACATATGCCATTATATTAATTTCAGATGCACAATATAATGATCCAATATTTGTACATATTGCAAAATGATGACCACAATGACCCTAGTTAACATCTGTCACCATGTATAATTACAATTTTGTTCTCGTGATGAGAAATTTTAAGATCTCTTCCCTTAGCAACATTTTAAAAAAGATTTTTTTTTATTTATTCCTAGAGAGAGGGAAAGGGAAGGAGAAAGAGAGGGAGAGAAACATCAATGTGTGAGAGAAAAATTGATTGGTTGCCTCTCACATGCACCCCACCTGGGGACTGGGCCCGCAATCCAGGTAACTGCCCTGATGGAAAACCAAACTGGTAACCTTTTGCTTTGTGGGATGATACCCAAACAACTGAGCCGCACCGCTCAGGGCTCTTACCAACTTTTAAACATGCGATACAGTATGACTACTATAGTCACCATGCTGTACATTACATCCCATGACTTACTTATTTTTAACTGGAAGTTTGTATCTCTTGACCCCCTTTACCCTATATGCTCACCCCCACACCCTCTGCTGCTGGTAACCACCAAATCTGTTCTCTGTATCTATAAACTTGTTTTTGTTTGTTTGTTTGTTTTGTTTTAGATTCCACATATAAATGAGGTATTTGTTTTTCCCTGACTTACTTCACTTAGCATAATTCCCTCAAGGTCCATCCATGTAGCCACAAATGGCAAGATTTCATTCTTTATTATAGGTGAATAATATTCTGTTGTGTATATACACTGTATTTTCTTTATTCATGCATCCATTGAGGGACGCTTAGGTTGCTACCATTTCCTGGCTACTTTGAGTAATGCTGGAATGAACATGGAGGTGCATACATCTCACTGAGTTAGTATTTTCATTTTCTTCAGCTATATACCTACAACTGGGACTGCTGAATCATATGATAGTTCCATTTTTATTTTTTTTGAGGAAACTCCATACTCTTTTCCATAGTGGCAACACCAGTCTGCATTCCCACCAACAGTACACAAGGGTTCCTTTCTCCACATCCTGGCCAGCAGTTGTTACCTCTTGTCTTTTTGATGATGGCCATTCTAACAGGTGTGAGATAGTATCTCACTGTGGTTTTAATTTATATATCTTAAGTCAGAAAATCTTGATACTGTATGTTTGTATACCCTAATGTAGTCAAAGACAAAGGGAAAAACAAGACACTTTGTGAAAAGGGAACAATACATTATAGCTTTTTTTTTTTTTATCATCACCCCACTTTATGTATGGCAGTGATTCTCAGTCCTGGTTACTCTCCTGGGAGCTTTTATGAACCCTGGGCTGCACCCTGGAGATTCAAATGAAATACTTGGGAGAGTATTCTAATATGCCCCAAGGGTTGAGAAGCACTGATGTGGACAAGATTGATGTTCGAGAGGCAATTTCACCTCTTCTGTTAGGACTGAGTAACCGTTTCTTTGGAACTGGTGGTCAGCAAGAGATTACTGCCATTTGAGCGGTCTCTGTTCAGTTCTCCTGAAGACATATCTCAATACTTTCTTTTCTCTGAACTTATGTTGAGCATTTTAATTACTTCTGGTTCTAATCAACCCAGAACTGGGAACTGAGTGTGTGTTTTTAGAATAAACATCCCAATGCTTATTTTTACAAAGACTACCTTATTCTTTCCTTCTACTACTGCCGTGCGCTGAGTGATGCTCTCGATTCTGTTTCCTATGTTGCTGTCAGGATCCAGAATAAAGGACTCTTCATTATTGGAGCAAAAGTCATACCTATTTAAAAAAAAATAAGTTGTTACTATGTTGCTTTGCAGCATGGTCAAGCCCAAGGCTTTAGGTGAAGTGAAAATCACCGGCTAACAGCAAAAACAAACAAACAATCATTGGTTAAGTTCTTTGGTAACAAAAATCACATTGTTTCCTTTCCCTTAGATTTTCCCCAGTATATGTCCTCAAAGCTTAAAAATAGCCAACATATTTTGTCTGATCTGAAAAACCTACACTGATGTATCACCATACACCCTTCATGTTCTAAATGTTAATTATGAAATAAAAATGCATAAATTAGAAAATTTTAATATCTAGATTTTAACTAGTTCCTAGTGGAGGAAACATGCAACCATAGGAAAAAATGAAGTTATGTTAATGAATGGAAATCTCAAATAATAGCATTTCACATCTGTAAAAGGCTGGCTTTTAACCAGAGTATTCCATCGTGAAGGCATTTATTTTCCAGGGATAATTAGGTGTATATGGAAACACATTATGGAACAGTTGTTAAATTCAGTCTATTTCTTTTCACATTTGGGGGTATCATGGCAAGCTCTTTAATTTCTTAGGCCTCAAGTGTTTAATTATAAAATAAGGATGTTAAAGTTGTTTATCCTTAAGAACTTTTTTGATTCTGAAAGTCCATGAAATCTCTCTTATTATTTCAAATTAGTTACTAGAGAGATTTTGACCAATAGCTGGAAGTTAACATATTCTCTCAAGCACGCTGATATCAGTAAGCTTCTGTTTTCACATGGTTCACTATGAAAATCACTGGTCTAAGTATTTTTTAATCATTTATTATATTTTATGTATCTTACAATCTGCATGAATAAAATCCCAAACAACAAAAATTACATTTAAGTCCATTCTGAATTGGACAGTGCGCTAGGATCTGAACTGGCCTTGCTGCCCCCTGGCTTTTCCCACTCCTCCAATATCCCCCAAACTGCTGCCAGACCAACCCCTGAATGCTGTGGTTTCCAGGGGAATCCTGTTGCTACTGTACGGTAGAAAGCCCAGGCTTTCTTGTCTGACAGCTAAGGCCACCCACAGTTGATTCCCTACCTGCTCACCTACAGAAACTCTGTTCTAGCCAAATCATCTTTGTGTTTGGTTAGTTCAGAGTCCTGGACCCAGACACACAAGGGCTCCTAAGTCCTAGTCCCACCCTGTGTGACAAGTTTTCTCTTCTAAAAAATAACAATAAAAATATACCTGCCTTGTTAATCTCACAGGATTATATAAGCATCACACGGCTTAATTTACCTGCAGAGGTTTTGTAAATTAAAGACGCCGTAGAAAGGTAAGGAAATGTCCTTATGGTGTCACGGGTGTGCCGTGTGCACTCTGATTGCCCACCTTCACTTGCACGGCTGCCGCTGACTGGACACCCCCACCTCCCACAACCTGACCTTGTCTAACTGCTTATTCCGACCGCCGTGACTCCTCACTGCTCTCACGGCTGGAACAACGCGCTGAACCTATTGCAAGATCACCTTAAAAAATTCTTTGTGATTTAAACATGGATCTCTCTGAGACACAATGGAAGTAGAGAGAGATTTCAGGTGCCTCAAAAACGGCATCTGTGGGATCCCAAGTGTTGCATTTTTCTGCCAGCCTGGGCAGGAAGGGGAGACGAGCGCTTGCGGAAGCCTGAATCGAGGACCTGCAGCTGCCCTCAGCCAGGTTAACTTACGTGCTTCGCAGTTAACTTAAGTGTTTTTCTTTTTTTTTTTTTCTGTTTTCTTGTACAGTGGCCATTTCATTGAAGCATTTTGTATTGCTACATTTTGGACTAGAATTTGTGGTGAGCAGAAAGGCCGCTCAGCTTTACATGTCTTGTGCAGATTTTGGAGATTTTCAAACCAGGAGGAGCTTCTAGAGTCCAATTTCCAGAAAGAATTGAGTGGATAATCTTAAGAAGCCAAGGGCAGCCGTGACTTATGGGAGATGAAGGTGAGAGGATAAAACAAATGAGAAAAAGGGAAGACAGACGGGGTTGCAATGACCAGTAGAAAGTCCTCTGATAGTCCTTTCTGGTCCTAGAGCTGAGCATGGCTCCAGAATGTGGAACTATCCAGTCTTCTGACTGGGCTCCCCTCCTGAGCATGCTGCCTTGTGAGGTCCTCCCCCAGAGCACCCACACTTTCCTAAGTTACCATTTCATGCTTCCTAGGCCCCACTGGGCCAACAGCTACAGGGCGACAGGAGCCACATCTACTTCTTCACCCTGTCCTCACAGTTAAGCAAGGGACTAGCAGGTAATTGACACTCTGTAAACACATGTAAACATACAAACTGGGATAAGGTACTTAAATGTTGTTTCTAGTAAGAGTTTTCATTTGTTTTAGTTGCTTATTATTTTCAAACATACTGATAAGTAGATGAAGTGTAATAAATCTTCATATACCCAAGCACCGAAATTTAACAATTATGATTTTACCACATATGTTTCATCTATCCCTGATTTCTTTTTGTTTTTTATAAGTATTTTAAAACAAATCCCAGACATCATGTCATTTTGCCCTAGTTTTCATTATTAGTATTCTTCACTTTCTAGACTATAACATCTATACCTTGAACTAGTATTTGACCTCACATCTTTCATACATGCTTAGTACATGTATGAGTGTATATAATCTATATACATTATAGGCATATGGGATTTATGGCATGTGTACACCTCTATGAATATGCATACACTTATACTAGACATGTGTGCGTATACCAGATATTAGAACATCAAACTGCTGAAGTTCCACGGTATCTGGAAGAGAAGCATTTAATTTAATTCTTTGCCCCCAAAGAAGTGAAAAGAATAAGGGTGGCCTTAGACAAAGATCATAGTTTTGTACTCTTGGTCTTCAGGAAATACAAAGAAATATGTGAGAGCAAAGCATGTCTGGGCATTTCCGGAGGAAAATGCAGTCTGCTGTCGGAGTTCACTAGGGCCTGTCAACCTCTGACCTTTTTTTCTGACCCCCACCCCCACCCCTAAGTCTAAGGGCAGTTACGGATGGCACAAGCCCCAGCACACGGAAACTATAGGCTAGACTACTGCAAGGCCATCCAAAAAAAAAAAAAAAATAGGACAGACTGATTCTGTGGCTGTTTTCTAATTTGGGGGCTATTATTTTTCCCTCTTTGTAATTGGAACCATAAAAATAGAATATCATTTTGGAGCCCAACTATATAACAGCACTTGAAAAGGGATTTAGGGGGAGGAGAGTTTGCCTGAGGCTTAAGAATACAGCAAGCTCTTAAGGAAGTAGATTGTGCCATGTTTGAAGATGCAAAGATAATCACTGTGCTGGGAACCGTCTTGAGGGGGGAGGAAGCCGAACAACAAGAGGAAAGCAGCGCTCACTCCTGATTTCGCACAGGAAGCCCACAGCACCTCCTGCCAAGGGGAGATAAGAAAGCTCCCAGGCACTATTCTGGACAAGGCCACTGTTATCAGCTTCAGCTCCACTCTGTCCTCTCTCTGCTCCAAGCCTCTGTCCCTTTCCTAATGAGTTTTAGGACTCCGACCTCCATCTGCATGCAGCATGCCAAGCACAATAGCATGGAGGTATTTATAACCATTGAGAGGAAAACAATTTTTCCGGGGTAAGAGTGTACTTCATGTCATCTCATCCATCGCCCTGGAGTTGAAACAAATTAGTTTCAGACTAGAGATTGATATAAATAAATTAAAAGAAAGCAGCCAATTTCGTATTTAACACACAGAGCTGGTGCCCTACATGTGACATGTCAGCCCGTTTAACTCCAAGGCAGGAGCCATCGGTGGGCGTCTCCCATCTGGTCTCGGTTACCATTCTTCTTCTCTTGACATTATTAGGGCAATGCCACCCTCCAGAGACACAGATGACATTACTGACCTACAGGCTTTGGGTTGATTTTCCTGTAGTAGTGATGAATTTGCCCTGATCCCTTCACATTCGTAAGTATTGGGCTTCTCTGTGGCCACAGACAGATAAAGGCAGTCGGGGGCTACAGATAAAGGCAAAGCCAACACTGGTCCAGCAGGCAAGTTAACTAGCCACAGGTTAGAATAATTCTATTATACATCATGCATATTACTCTCTACTACAATAAGGATTATATTTCCTATGCACTAGGCAGCTCATGCACACTACCTCACTAATCTGTACAATATCCTGGAAGCAGGTACTCTCATCTCTCATTTAATGGATGAGGATATTGAGGATTAGCAAGGTTAAGTAAGTACCCAGAGTTAAACAACTAATAAGTGGCAGAGGCAGAATTCATAATCAGTTCTGGCTTATTCCAGAATCTGTGCACTTAACCCTTAATCCATGTGTAACATAATATCGATGGACAATCATCACATAACAAGAAGCTGCTACACTTCAGTGCTTCTTTGTATACAGGAAGATGAGGCTTGTCAAATATTCACTACACAAATGCCATCAACACTGTAGGGATGTTAGTCTTGTTTAGCCCTTTTTGTATAACACAGTCAGCTTCTTTCAAAGTTTGGCAAACAATTCTCATCATACACAACCAAAACGTGCTGCGTGTCCAATGTGTGTGCAGTCTGCAGTTAGTTTACAGCAAAGCTGACTTTGCCATCCCACAGTTCTGAACTTAATCCCCAATCACCTTTGCAAATCCAGCACAGGAAATACAATGTGCAGTGTGCACCCAAAGGGGCCCTTCTGTGTTCCCCTGTGCTTCTCCTTAGGTGCTGGCTTTGAGCAATTCCAACTTTCAGACTTTCTTCATTCCTTCTGCCTTTCTTCCCCCTCCCCCTACCTAAGTGCGAAGCTGGTGCTTTTCTTTCTGTAGAGGACGGATTGTTGCATCTCGCAGAATCAGAAGGGACAGTCCAGCTGGGCGAGCTTTAGCCACTGATGGTTAGTATCTATGTTTTCTTTGAAGTGGCTCTTCTTCTGTGAGAAAACGATAGACTCTGAAGAATGAGGTGAGATGGTTCAGCCCTTCATTTCACCTTTCTAGAGACTATCCATCTGTTT